CAATCTATATTCCAACATCATTCTTTAAGGAGAGGGAAAAACTGATAGCTAACTTTATACAGAAATTAAATAGCCCCCATATAAGCAAAGAATTGCTAAAGAAAAAGCACAAAGTTGGAGGTCTCTCACTTCTGCTTTAAATATCTACTACACAGTCACAGTGTTCAAAACATCCTATCATTGGTAGAGTGAAAGATATGTAGATCATTGGAACAGAATGGAGAACTCAGAAGAAGTAAATCCATCTAGATACATTCTGCTGATAGTTGGCAAAGGGCCCAAACACATTAAATGGGGAAGAGATAATCTCCACAATAAATGGTGCTGGAAAAACTGGAAATCTGTTTGCAGAAGAATGATCAAGATGCATATTTCACACCATATACAAAGAAAAACTGAACGTAGATTGAAGACTTAAAAAAACAGAACTATAAATATTATCAATGAAAAAACAGACACAAAATTATGGGCTCTAATTCAAGACATAAATGTAGAGTTAAACATAACTAAAAACACACAAATGGTAGTAGACAAAATAGATGATTTGGTGCTCCTAAATCAGACTCTATGTGCATCACAAGATTTCACCAAAAGAGTAAAAAGAGAGATCACTCACTGTGAAAAAAATTTTTTTGCAGCACATCAGATATGGGATTAATCTCTAAAATTTATACAAAACTACAACACATGTACAAGAAAAAGAAACAATATAAGTAAAAAATGGGCAGAGGACATGAACAATCACTTCACCAAGGATGACAGTTAGGCAGCTGAAACACATATGAAGAAATGTTCATGATCATAGCCATTAGAGACATGCAAATCAAAGCAACAATGAGATACCATCTCACTCCAGCATTAATAAAAAAGGTGAAGGAAAAAAAAAACAAAACACCAAACAAAAACAAACAGAAAATAACAAATTCTGAGACTGGGACCCTCTTACATTGTTGATGGGACTGTAGAATGGTTCAACCATTGTGGAAAATCATGTGGCACTTCCTTAGAAAGCTGGACATAGAACTATCAACTATCCCAGCAATCTTTCTACTTGGCATACATCCACTAGAAATAAGAGTCAGGACATGGGTAGATATATGCACACCAATATTCATCACAGTACTATTCACAATAGCAAAAAGATGGAGACAGCATAAATGCCCATCAAAGGAAGAATAGATAAACTTTGGTACATACACACAATGGAATACTATGCAAAGTTGAAGAACAATAACAAATCTGCAAAACACCTCAGAACATGGATGAACCTTGAGGATTTTATGCTGGGTGAAATTAGTCAATCACAAAAGGACAAACATTGAGATCTCTATTGTAAAAACTTAAGTAAAGATTTTCATGCTAAAAGAGACATTCTTTGATGGTTACCAGGGGTGAAAGGGAAGGGATAGTAATTCACTGACTAGAGGGTAGACTTGGGTGATGGGGTGGGCAATATATAAGAAGAGGGAGGTTGGCAAAAGAATGATGAAGACAGGTGAAGACACAGGGAGGGATGCAAGGGCCAAAGGGGATAGTGTCATATACATAACTTGGAGCACCAGCATTCTGCAGGTAGATACATGGATAGACACACAGGCTGAATGGGTATAGGAGTAAGAGTGGGAGCATACCCACAAATATATAAGGGTTTGAAAGCAGATTCTTGTACATGAGTATTTACCTTTGTGAATGTGATGTGATGTGAATGTGATGGAGCATACAGCAGGCAAAGTGGCGAAAACCTCTTAGATATTATCAAACATCTTAAGGAACTGGTGTCCTGGGCTTGGTGGCTCAGGACCATAGTCTCAGGGGACATCATGGTCAACTGACATTACATGGTCCATGAAGACAATGTTCTATATCCACTTTGGTGAATAGTGTCTGAGATCTTGAAAGCTCATGAGCATCTATATATGGTGCAGCAATTCGTCTCTTGGTGTGCAGAAGAAAGAAGAGCGATGAGAACTGAAGAGGCTTGGAATCAATATGTCCAATGGACTGGAACCTGTGAACATCAGTCTACATGACTGAGACCAGGAGGAACCTTAGACTATGGATCTTGATAACCCTTCAGGTCTGGAATGGAACTCACACTCACTGCTCAATTTTCAGGACAGCAATTCAAAGGTATATGGGGGTGGGGGGCAGCAACACTAATAAGTTATGCTCACCATGGAATGTTCAATCATTCAAAATCAAAAGGGCAATGTTTACTTAAGGTCAAAGTTGAGAGGGGATGGGACTGTGTGTGGAACGGAAATAGGAAGCACAGGGAGGAAGTGGCATAACTTGTTGCAGGGAAGGGATTGTAATCGTTGAGAAGAAACAAAGTGTGTGATTTGCTGAATATAAAACAGACGATCTTGTCTGAAAACCTTCACTCAATTCACAATAGTTAAAATAAAGTGAGGTAATCCACTACTTTTAAGGTCACCCAGATGTTGTGTCCAAAGAGAAGACTGTAGTGTATCTACCCAAGAACTTTCAGCTTCTGACAAGGGCACAGATGGGTGACAATGGAAACTTCTTTGTATCTGGATGTGACAGGGAAGCAATTTGGAGCTTCACAGTGAGCTCCTCTAGACAGGTCTGCTTGTTTGCTTCACTTGTTTGGCAGAAAATGCACGTTCACACAGAATCTAGTCACCTCCAGACACCACGGCAAGCCTGAGGAGAGAGGCAGCCTTCCTGTCGACTTGAGAGGCACTTTACCAATCACATATGCGCTTTTTCTTCCTCAACAACCAATCACTTAGAAGGCTATGTGAGGGGTTATGTGAGTGGTGTATGTGTGATGGTGTGTGTATGTGTGGTATGTATGTCTCTGCTGTGTTGTGTGTACATGTATAAGAGGTGAGGTGAATGAAACGCGGAGTGTGGGCATGTATTCAGCTTTCAATGTGGTGGTGGTTGGTGGTTGTGTGCCATGGAGTTAGTTCTGACTTGTAGTGACAGCATTTTTGTCCAGCCCAGCATGGAAACATTGCCTCCCCTGATACTCCCAGACTCACTATTTGCATCATGAGAATATTCTATTCCAGATACAGTGCATTTTCGGAAAACCATCTTATTCTCAGTTAATGTGCCCGTTTTATCCGAGAAGATATACTGTATCTGTCCTAAATCTTCTGTGATGTTCAGGGCTCGACACTGCAGCTGTGAGTCGGTCTCTTCATCATACAACTCTATATCTTGGTTAATGAAGTACACTTGACAGACTTTGACAATTTCAATGGAAACATACAAGGAAATTGGGATCAAAACCTAGAAGAAAAAGGTACATGGACACGAATTATTCTGAGTCTGGAAGTTGTGGAATCAGTCCAATCTACTCCAGTATCAAATTACTACAACCACAAATAAGTAGGGACTATACTGTACCTTTAACAGCTTAAATAGGTTGGTTTAGTGTCAATGGTGGGAAAGTACAAAGAGATTTAAACAAGGACAGTCTAGGTGGATGTTGCAGAGCAGAACTCCACTCTGTCTTGAAATATGATAGCCTGGAGAGAAGCAAATGCTTTTGTGTTACTAAGGTTTGCTTGAGAGAAGCTAGGAAAGCAAAAAGAGAAAGGAGACAAAACTTAGTCAGAATACAGTCAGAGTCCTCATAAGCAAAGTCCCCTCAAACTATGGTGGCAGTGGGCCCCCAGACTTTCTCTGTGCTCCTAGCAGTATGGAACTGCTGCATCCCTGTCGGACAACCCCAGGGTCATGAAGAAGCCACACACAGAAAGACAACTTTCATACTAGTTGTGTATGGAAGGGACATTTCTGGGGTCTTACACAAAGGAGCTCCGGTAGCACAGTGGTTACGAATTGGGCTGCTAAACTCAAGGTCGGCAGTTCGAAACTACCAACTGTTCCGCGGGAGAAAGATGAGGCTTTATGCTCCTGTAAAGATATGGAGCCTCAGAAACCCTGTGCAGGGTCACTACGAGTTGGAACCCAGTCCATGGTACTTAACAACAATACACAGGAGAGAAAACAGAAGAAAGTTTTGAGAAAAATTTGCCCAGTTATGCCTTGTTAATTTAAGAACTGGGTCCACAAAATTAATGTTCATTTTTGGTAGAGTAATAGTATTGACACGATGGGTATGGACATAAACTGTCATACCTGAACTAACTAGATTCTCTGCTAACTTAAACAAACAGTTTAAGAGAACACCAAGAAAAGTGCTAACTCACGTGTAGAATAAAATTGCACATGTGCAGTTAAGTAAAGATGTTTCCTATTGGATGAAGCACATATGATCACAAAGTTCCCTCTTAGGCAAGGGCTGCTGGGAAGATGTCCTTTGTTTGAAACCCTTTTTGTTATGAAAGTAGCAGCCCTCACTGCCCCTTCCCATTCCTCCAAGTCTCTGAGCCCCTGTATGTTCCTTGACAGGTCTTTCTGGACAAAGTCTCAGTTAATGACTAGGTGTTATTGATGAAGCACATGAATAAATATTAATAACGGTATCAGTGATAGCTAAATGTGATTTGATATCCTTAACTGAATCTGGACTAAAAAAGCACATTAGCAGATTAGTAAAACTCAAAGGAAGCTCGGAGTTTTGTTCACAGCAATGCACCATTGCTGGCTCCTTGTTTAGACAGGGTGTTGGCACGTTAAGATGCCAACAACAAGGAAAAGTGAGTGAAGGACATTTCTGTATTATGGTTTGTAAATTTTCTGTAAAGCTAACATTTTTCCAAAGCAACATCTGCTTTTAAAAAATAATGGAATAGAGAAACAACAAAAATGAAAATGATGATCAAAACTGAACCCCCAAAGATAAATGAATTCTAAGAACAGCAAAGGAAAATTTTAATTTGAAATCATCTATGAAAAAAGCCTATTGATGAATTAAATGGAAAACTTAAGTACATTTTAGACAAATATATTTGCGGCACTTCCAGGTGGGGAATTTGGAGGAATTTCTTAGAATATGATAATATGATGCCTGAAGTTCTCTTCAATAAAGTAAAAAACATTCACTGTAAGGCACTTAGAACTGTTACCTGGAGAACGATTATCATTGTCAAAAACGAGTAAACAGCAGCTAAGATTGGGGACAAAGCTTTGCCATCAGACTCAGGAACATCAAACAAGGATTTCTTCTCTTGATACCGCCATACCCAAAGTCCATGTCCTGTAGCAACATTCAAAAAGAATTAGCATTCTTCCAATAGAAAAAGAACATTACTCATCTAAGTTACAGCAAAACATTACTTGGTGACTTACTCAATGGAAGCATATTTGGTTTTATTAGCCTTGTTATATAAGAAGGGAAAAATACCCAGTATGCTTGGCATCCAAGCTATAACTTCCAGAAAGAACTGAAACTTGGCTCCTTACTCACACCTGAGGTTTTCCAGTGTTGAAACTAACTTCCATCACTGATGAGAACGTTGGGCGTGGATGTATGCATATAGGCTAAGCAGGCAGTTGAAAATGTGAACCCACAGAAGGGAGTGTCCTCACATGTGTCTCAGAAAACACCAGTGTCAAGAGGTGCTCGCTGAAAGAGCCAGGAGGTGACAGGACCCTGTCCACTAGTATTCCTTCGTGAAGATACATTGCAGGCTGTCTGCAAGGCCCACGTACTTTTTTATCAGGGCCTTTCTCATGCTCAGGGTATGTTTCCTTTGGCCAGTGAGCTCTCTGAAGCTACAGCCCATCCTACCAGTCTCTTGCACATGAGAGTAGTTGGGTGAGTGATGTAATGTAGTATGATTGGAGTCTTCACATGTGGCAACTCTGAAGTCAGCAAAGGCTGTGGGCACCAGAGCCCACATACAACATAACTGCTACCCACTGTGAAGAATCCTGATTTTTGTCTCTTTTTATGGTTTCCTGTGAGTAGCACTTTGTGTTTCTCCTGCTGTTACTCTTAGCTCACAGCCAGCTCACTACTATTTCTTATACTGGAATTATTACTACCTTTGTGATTGTGACACGTTGCCATCCAAGACTTGATCAATTAGATAAAGTAACATTACTCTGCCTAGCACTTTCTTCTGGGCATCTCGTGCTCATGCAAACCACCCTAGGAGTTATATCAACAGGCCTCTCCTGAGAGACCTCCGGCAGAGCTGTTTGCCTGTGGTATTGCTCCTCAGCCTGGGGTACTTCCAGGGGACTTACCAATAGCAGAGATCAGAGACATGCAAACAAGGATGAAGACACACCAGAGGACGTCACAGTTCATCTGGCGTTCCAGCTGACTGCGTTTGTAGCGGGGCCCATTGTTGTTGAGCAGAGCTTTGGTTTCATGTCCTGTCCAGAGGGTGAAGCGAGTTGTCAACCATGTCCAACTGTCAAGTAATGAGCTACATTGACTTCATAGGAGAAAATGTCTGCTACCATCAAATAGCATTTTTGCAATAACCTCAGTAGAGAAAGGAGGGGATAAAATTCATCTGAAATATATGAATACCAGGGAGGAATACATGGAAGGAAATCTGCTGAAATGCTGAGAGAGAGCACTTCTGGTTGAGGTATTGTTACATAGTTTAATCTTTCATTTCTTTACCTTTTCAGGATTTTCCAAAATTTATACAGTGAGTATATATCCATATCTACGAGGGTAAGTCAAATATCTGCACTTAACAACATCAACACACACACATATATGTGTGTGTGTTGTTGGTAAGTGCCTTTGAGTCGGTTCTGACTCATAGAGACTATGTATAGGGCTTCTGAGGAGCAGCTGGTGGATTTGAACTGCTGACTTTGTGGTTTGCAGTCCAGTGTTCATAGTGATCTATATAGGGTTTGTGAGGAGTGGTGGATAATTTTTGACTCACCCTTGTATGTGTGTGGTGTTGTTAAGTGTTGTCGAGTTGGTTCCAACTCATAGCATCCCTATATAGGGTTTCTGAGAAGTGGCTGGTGGGTTTGAAACGCCGACCTTGCAGTTCAAACAGACCTTGCGGTCCAGTGCATTTATCCTGTAGTGCTACACTGGTGTGTGCATGTGTGTGTCTGTGTAGATAGTGGTTAAGTGCTGACCAGTCATTCTGACTCATAGCAACCTTGTATAGGGTTTTGAAGGAGTGGCCAGTGTGTTTGAACCACCGACCTTGTGGTTCAAACAGATTGTGCTATCCAGTGCTTTATCCCACAGTGTCACCCAGGGTTTCTGAGGCACACATACACACGCACACATATATTCTCCTATGTATATATGTAATGCAAATATGTGATGCATGTATTTAATGTATGTATGTAATATATAGAGAGACCTGGTATGGTACTGTGGGTTAATGTGCTAGACTGAAAATCTGTTTGAACTGCAAGGTTGGCAGTTCAAGCTTACCAGCTGCTCCTCATTATAGGTTGGAATCGACTTGACAGCACTTAACAAAAACAACAATAACAAATATGTATATATATATATATATATATATATATATGTATTTTTTTTCCTCTAGTGGCTATTCATGAGGGGTCTTCAAAAAGCTAGTGTAAAAGTTCTGCTTTTCCAAGACCTCTTTGACGCCTCCTCATATGTGTGCATGTATGTTTATTTCCACAGTGGCTATGCAATCGGAGAAATAAATTGGGGAAATGTTTAGGACCATAGTGGCTAACAACACAGGCCAACATCCTATGACAATACAGCATGGGGCCCACTGGCACCTACCTGCATAGATGACTATGCCCACAACTGCCTCAGTGTTTCGGATGGTGCATCCACGAAGCAGCAGATTCTCCTTGTGAAGTGCAGCCTTTTCCCCATTTTCATGGATGCTGTCAAGGAGAGTTGGAAGGATTCACTCCGTGCACTGTATACAAGCCTCACATCTAAATCCTACTGCCTGGGGAGCCAGTAGGGATGAGAGTCCTAGGATGGGGGTGGGCAGGGACAAGGAGCCCTAGGAGTACTGGTTTGTCTCAGCGGAGCGCTATAAGAGCTGAGAGGAAGCTGCTCATGTTCACTACTGTCTGGGTATCAAGAAGCATCTCAGGAGGCTGATGTTTGTTGATTTTTTCCCTGGGCATTGATTACTGTAGGACTGAACACAGCTAAGGAGGGCAGACCTACAGTAACTGGATGAATTTGGGAAGCTGCTATGAAGTCCTTGTGAGTGTCTTCCATGCATCTCCCATGGCGCAAACAGAACTATGACTCCCAGCAGAAAATCCCATGTTTCTACAGAATGCAAACATTTCTCTAGACAACTGGATGACACAAATTTCAGCAACATCTTCTAGACCTCTTTACCTTATTATTGTTGTTGTTGTTGTCCAGTCAGTTCCGACTCATAGACACTCTGTGGAGGGTTTTTGAGGCTATAAATTCTAGTGGGAGCAGAAAGCCTCATCTTTCTCCCATGAAGTAGCTGGTGTGCTTGAACTGCCAACCTTGTAGTTCACAGTCTGGTGCCTATTCTACAGAACCATAGCAATCCCTACCTTGCTATACAGAGTCATAAAATTGCTAGAACTATTAAACATTTAATTTGAAATGTAGTAACTTCCATGAGAAAACTTACTAATGCTCTTTTGTTACTACTCAGATTCAAAAGAATTTCCACGGATTTTCAGATTTGACCCCTTACCTCATCTAGTGATGGCTCTGTCCTCACCATGCTGACCAGGCTGTTGCACTAGGACCTGAGGTGAATGTAGGGGATGGAATAACAGAAGGCTGGCACACAGCTGATAGGGGAGGCAACCTGGGATTCACGAACGAAAGCTGGGACTCGGGGAGACCTACACCAGGCAATCCTGTCAGAAAGAGCCTCACCCCTCCCCCACCCACCCAATGCACTTACACAAACCCAAGTGCTCTAGGCAATTCATGGATGGTGTTTGCAAGTTTTTACCCACCAATTCCTGCCATTGTGTCCACTGACCCTGAAGCACAGCTAGAGCTCTGGTAGCTTAGTGGTTATGAGTCAGGCTTCTAATGTCAAGGTTAGCTGTTCAAAACTACCAACTCTTCTGCAGAAGAAAAATGAGGCTTCTGCTCCCGTAAAGATTTATAGCCTCAGAAACCCTATGCAGGGTCGCTATGAGTTGGAACCAACTCCACAGCACATAACCACCACCAAACAGAGGTGACCACAGGGCACAAGGTGTATCTGGAAAAGGCACTTCCTGCTCATTCTAGCCCCTGTGGCAACAGTAATCTGGACCCTATCTCTTGGCATGAGGAGACAATGCTATTGAAATCTCAAGCACCCTTTAACACTAGGTTTGAGTCATTCGCAGGTTCAGTGAATGCCCTAGACCATAAACAAAAAAGTTGGAGGCATAGCCAAGAAATACCTAATAATCTATTTGCAGTAAGTCATTTTCCTCGGACACACGTGGGGTCGCCATGAGTTGGAGTCTCAACTACATGGCAACTCATTTGATAGGTTTTGAGGCACTTAGTTCAAGACAAAGGGCTGATTCATTCACCCAGCTGACCTCTTTTAAGTCAAACTCTTCCAGAGGGATGACACCCAGTTTGCCCTGCAGAATCTCTGGAAATGGCAGCACTTAGCGCCTATCCTAATGCTCTGTCCATATGCCCTTTCTTAGAGCACACTGTGTCTGTGGGCTGCATTCTCTGTAGCTGAAAGGATACCCTTGAATGTCCATTGTGTGAGTTGCGACATATAGACATGTGCACTAGCAGGCATGAAACCCCATTCTGAGATGGGGCTGAGATGTGACTGCATGAGTGTTGTATGGAGGAGGGGAAGAAGAATGCTCAGGTTTTATCTAAACATAAAGTACTACCCAGGAAGTCTAAGACCAACTGCCTAGACTGCATAGTTTCCAGAAACCCAAAGGCTCTGTTCCAATGACCAACCTACCATAGACTTGGCCAACCTTCATGTTCCCCCCTCATTCAGCAGCCCAGCAGATCCTCACCCCTTCATTCAGCATCCCACTTCTTTGATGGCTGGTTCTTTAACCTACCACTTCCTGGCCATGTCTACATAGCCATACCTGAGTTCAAGTTTCCACATTCCTTTCCAGCCTCAAGGTCACCAGCCTTAGGCCCTCATGTGTATTTCCACCAAGGCAATCTCTCCAAAGTGCAAATCTCAAGCTCACACACTGGGATACCTCCCTCTGGATGAGCAGGAATCATGGCTCTGCCCTTGTTTCAGGATCTGCCCACCACAGGCTCTCTGCTCAAACCCCACACTGCTGTCCAGTCTGCACCATAGAGCCCATGCTGGCCTTTCTGTCTACAAATTTTCTTCCATTTTCTGCTCTGATTTTAACAGACTTCAGAAACAATATATGGAGTAAGTTCTTAAGCCCTCCAGAAAGAAGACCTTTAGGTAATCTTTTCTATATTCTTATCTGTTCTTCCACAGATGTGGTTAATATGTTTTATTCTGAGTCCCTGGGTGGCTGCTAACTGAAAGACTGGCAATTGGTGTCTATTCAGAGGCACCTTGCAATAAAGGCCTGGTGATTGAGTTTCAAAAAACTCAGTCATTGTAGCAAAAGGAGGGGAGTGGTTGACTTTGCAGTACAGGAGTGGAGGTCCCTGGGACCATCAAGGGAGAAGAGTGGAGTGCAGGGTCCTATCCAGATACAGTGACACCAGATATGGAGGCAGAGACGATGATGTGGAGAGATGGAGAGGCTGGGGACTCTAGACCCAGAGAGGGAGAGGGGATGTGTGCTGACAACCAAGGGGCAGGCTTGTAGGGTGTACCCTTTGGTTGTTTGATGATGCATGGAGGGGATTGTAATCATGGCAATGAAACGATGTACGATAGGATGAATGTAAAGCTAATGATCACCCATGTAAACTATCACATAATTCACAATAAAAACTTAAAAAACAAACAAACAACTCAGTCACTAACACACATGTGGTTATCATGAGTCAAAGTTAACTCCACAGCAACTATTATAATCTTATGTCATGTTACATCCCTAACACTTAACTCGATGCCTGGGCAAAGGGCACTGGAAGAATGGAGAAAGCAGAGTAAGAACAGAATATTTGCTAAGGGCCACTGGGATGCTGTGTCCTTGACCAAGGGTTACTAAGCCTGTCCAGGTGGTCTTCAACAACTCCTCAGTAACCACTCCTCTCCTAAAACCTTTGGGTCTAGTGTTGTATCTGCTCCACTCCTCAGATATCAATTTGAGAGAGTGGTCTGTTTTCTAAGGGAACCATGACTGACAAAGGAAGTTAGACATTTCTTACACATATGACTCCTAAGTAAAACTTTCTTTAAAATAATGGTTGTCCAGATTCTTGTTTATTTTATTTAGAAAATGTGAAAAATCACCAAACTAACATTGAGTTTTTTTGAGATACATTAATAAAAGGTACTAAAGTGAACTTGAAATATCTCAATTTTAAAGAGTCTTCTTCATGGGATTACAACTCATCTTAATGCCCATTTGATGGCTACAAAGCCTACACAAAACTCTATCCAAACAGTTCTTCACCACACTGGGTGGAGAAGAGTGGAGGCAGTGACAACCCTGCCAAAGCTGCCTTCATTAGCTGATAGGAACCTCTAACCCTGTATGTAAGCTAAGAACATGGCTCTGTGAAAAATTTCTGTTGAAATAATGGGAACTGACTTTCCAATTTAAAATATTTTGCATTAGATAATTAACAAGCTAATGTCTTCATTTTTAGGGGAAAGAGAAAATGTTCAGTTGGTTGTGGTTGCAACCAAATATGTCATGAACTTGGCTTATGCAAGTCAAGTAAGGACAGCCAGAACTTCTGGAACACATGGTTACAGTCCCAAGTATAAGTCTCCACGTACAGGGGTCCTTCAGAACCCAAACAACCTGGACAGAGGGCTCTGAGGATAAGGCACTCTGAGAAACTAATGAGCTGAGGGATT